GGAAGATGCCTAGATGAAGATGAACTGTAACAAGAAACCACTGAACAATGGAAGCCAACTGCCGTGTCCTGTGGCCGGAGCCTCCCATTGCCTCTGGCTACCTTGTTCCCAGCCTTTCCAGTACCGGCCCATCCTGGCTCTGTGTGCCAGGAAGATACGAGTTCTTCCTTTCCATAGACTCCACTAGAATCTCAGACTTTTGCAGCTGTATCTGGGAACTCCGTCTGCCTGCAGTTCCTCATTAAGCGGTGTCAGTGAGACTAAGCCTGAGCAGAGGCAGAAAAAGATGATGAGGGTAAGTGCAGTCTGAAGTAAGAATTCATACTGGGGTAACGCTTCCCGTTTTCAAAGCACTCTGACATTGGATCTTTGTGATCCTCTTAGCATAGAGAGGGGTGATGATATTATTCCTTCTGCAGATTTTATAACACGGGGTCTTAAAGGTAATGTCACTCACCCAGTTAAGGCCATGCAACCACATAAAGGCTAGAAGCAGCTAAGATACACTACATGCTACAAAGTCTTCTAAAGGAAGTGGAGACAAACAGTTCATCAGAGAACACAAGCGTGGCCTACATGAGAGTCACATGATTTCAGGCCCAGCCACGGCACCAGAGCTGGGGGATTCCTGTCCCGATGAGCACAGAGGACTAATATAGATTTCTCCCACTTCCTCCCAGAGGCGACTGTGAGATGCGCTGAGTGTACGTGATGTCTGTGTGTCACCCTGGTCAGCTGCGGACACCTTGAGGTGAGGATTGTGGTCTAGAGAGAGGAGGTGCAGCTCCTGGTGCGCTGACGGGGTGCAAAAGGGAGAGGCCAGGGAAGCCTAAATAAAGAAGATGGGATACGCCCATATTAAGGCCTGTGACTACAGTGCAATACATAATGAAATACAGAAGGGCACCAAAGCCAAGCAGAACAGTCAAAATGACAACGGCTGATGAAAGAAGCATGTAAAAAACAAAAAAACCCAAAATGGGGTGGGGGAAGAGAAGCTGCTCTACAGCCTCTAAACTCTAGAAAACAAGATCCCTGGGGTGGTGATAGGTTTTTTCCCAGGAAAAGTGGGTACAGGCAAGCTGGGGCCCCCAGTTAACCCCGCCTCTCCAGTGGCACAGGTGATGGCACGCACACTGAGTGCTCTGGAGGGTGAAAGCCAGAAGAGGCTTCTGAGTAGTTTACAAACAACGCTCCATGTCCCCCTCACCATTGGGAGATGGCCCTTCAGCGCCTCACTTCCAGGACCAAGGTTTTCTCTCCACATGCCTTCAGATTGTGATAGGGTCGAAGATTGGAGGCTGAAGCATGAGGATTGAAAGCTTGAGGCCAGCCCAGCATGGGTAACTTGGTGACTTAGGGAGACATTTTCTCAAAACAAAGGGCTGGGAATGTAACCCAGTGTGAAGGCCCTAGGTGCAAACCGCAGAACAAAATAAAGAAAAAAATGAGAGAGAGAGAGAGAGAGAGAGAGAGAGACTTTACTGACAGAGGAATGGATAAGCCAAGAGCACCATCGATCCAAAGGAATTATTCACGTAAGGAAAGTCTGACACATGCTACAACATGGATGGACCTTGAAAACATCATGCTAAGTGAAATAAGCCAAACATAAAAGGTCAAATACCATATATTCCACCTATCCGAAGTACTTAGAACATGCAAATTCAGAGATAGGAAGTAGAGTGGAGGTCACCAGGGGCTGGACAGGGGAGGAATGAGGGTTACTGTTCAGTGAGTTCAGAGTGCCTCCTTGGGGGATGAAAGCTCCGGAGGTGGACAGTGGTGATGGTCGCACACAGCGTGAACTAACTGTATACTTGAAATGGCTAAAACGATTAACATCATGTTTGTATACTTTAATTCAATTTTTTTTCTGTACTGGGACTGAGTCCAGGGGCACTCTACCACTGAGCTACATCCCCAGCACTTTTTATTTATTTATTTATTTTTGAGATAACATCCCAGTCTGGCCTTGAACTTTCCATCTTCCTGCCTCAGCCTCCCAAGTAACTGTGATTAGAGGCGTGGGCCACTATGCCTGGTGTGTTTTGTATATTTTACCACAATAACAATTTTTAAGAAAAAGGAAGAAAAGCAAGTAAATACAAGAGCAGTGCTGGGAAAATAAAAAATAAAAAAGAGCAGTGCTGGGGCATTTATTTTTTTATTTTTTGTACCGGGGATCGAACTCGGGTCCTTGTGCTTGAGCAGCAGGCGGTGAAACCACTGAGCTAAATCCCTGGCCCTTTACCTACATTTTTGAAAAGCTTTTTATTGATGACAGAACTCTGTAGTAGCAGTTATTTTCTCAGCACTTCAAAGATATTATCCCCTATCTTCTGGTTTTTATTGTTGATATTTAATTTGTTTGCTTGCCTTTTTCTTTTCTTTTGTGGTACTGTGGATCGAACCCATTGAGCAGCATTCTCAACTCTTTTTCATTTTTATTCAGAGACAGGACCTTGCTCAGTTGCTAAATTGCCTAGGTTGAGCTCCAATTTGGGATCCTCCTACATCAGAGATCCAACCCAACCCAAAGTGATCTCTCTCTCAGATAAATTAAGTCTCATACATCTCATGCTTGTATCTCATCAGTTCTCCAACACTGCTTCTTCAAATATTTCATACTCCTACTTTCTCTATTATCATCTTTCACAGCATTAATTAAATATATGTAGGGATCTTTTTACTCCATTCCCAAGGTCTGCAAATTATGACACCTGGTCCCACTCTGTTCTGCTACCTGTTTTTGTAGTTTTACTGGGACACAACCACGCCCTTCATTTACATACAGCCTAGGGCTGCTTGCAGACGGAAACAGCAGGGTTGAGCAGGTAAGAGGTATGAGAGAGACTGTATGGTCACACAGCTTAAAATATTTACTCTCTGGCCCTTTACAGAAAAAGTTTGCCAACTCCGGCTCCACTCTAAACCTCTTCCATATTTTTCATCTTTGTCTCTTCCATCTTCTACATATTTTTTGTCAGAAATATCTTCCAATTTGCTAACTGCATCGTTAGCTGTAATATACTATTTAATCTAGTCACGTGAGCATTAATTTTCAAAGGGCTGAGGAGTGTAGCTCATTCTTTAACCCTGGTAAGTACTCCCCCCAAAGGGGGAATCACAACTTTTTTAAATGCCAATTTTCTTTATTCCATCCTTCATTTTTAGAAGTTCTCTTTGGTTCTTTGTTCTGTCTGCCTGGTCAGCTGAGTTTCCGCCAATATTTTTTTCAAATATCCCCTTATTTCTTTTAACATATTAAATATATATTTTCTGTATCTGAAAATGCTGATACCTGGAGTTTCTGTTAAGTATGAGTACAAGTGTCATTTCAGTTACTCGATTTCACTGGGAGTTAGAAAATTCAAATCAAAAACTTTACGAGAGGATGTAGATCAATAGCTTCTTTTATACGTGACTGGTGGGGCAAAAGCTGCTCCAAACAAAACCTACTACAAACTACAAAAACCTACTGCACACAAACTACAAATAAACTACATATAATAAGCAGCAAAAGGGCACAACCTGTCATTATCTTGTAAAGTTGAATATTCACACACCAAGACCTAGCAGTTCCACACACGTGCCCAAGAAGACATGCACAGGAATGTCTGAGGCAGCGCTATTCGGAACGGCTGAAAAGGCCTCTGTCTTCACCCACGGGACTCTAGATAGTAGTGAAAATGGATGAATCTTATTATTATTACTACAGGAAACAAGCCAGTCCTAGAAGGGTGTACATAGTATATTTTAAAAATAAATCAGGGCCAGGGATTTAGCTCAGTGGTTTCAGCACCTGCTGTGCAAGCACCAGGACCCGAGTTCGATCCCCGGTACCAAAAAAAAAAAAAAAAAAATCAGATAAAGCAACACTAAACAATATATTTCTTTCGACATACATACATTTATCAACAAAATGGTGCCCCAAACCTCAGACAGTGGTTGGGATAGGGCCAAGGTAGAGAGATAGGACTGGCACTTAGGTGGGCAAAGTTAATGGCAGCAATCTGGTTTTCGGCTTGGGTTGTGGGTTCCAATGTGTTCACTGGGTAGTTAAAATGTACTAATAACCCATATAATAAGCAGCAAAAGGGAACAAACTAGTGAAGAAAACGTGTTATGAACCATGAGCTTTGATGCATCCAATTTTGTACACCTGAGAAATAAAGCAAAAGGGATAGAGCTAGACATGACAGAGAGATTTATAAAAACGAGTTTCCACCTGCAAAATTTTTTAACCTGCACGATCAAAGCCATCAATGGTAGTTTTTAGATGTGAACTTTTGTTGACAATTTCATTTCATGGCCTAAAGTTGTTATTCAGCAACACACCAGCACTCTGGGAGGCTGAGTCAGGAGGAGCTCATGGTCAAGCCCAGCCTTGGTGACTGATCAACTTAGGGAGAACTTGTCTCAAAATAAAAAAATAAAAATAAAAAGGGGCAAGGGATGTAGCTCAGTGAAAAGGCCCTGGGTTCAATTCCAAAAACCAGAAAACAAAACACCTCAGTTCTGTATACAGCACCTGAACAGACCAGACTACTAAGAAAGATTCAAGAATCAATGAACTTGGGGATTCTGACCTGGAAGTGGGGCGGGAGAGGTGGGATGAAGGCATCAGGGCAGAGGCGCTGATGCCGGTCCGCCTCTGGGGACCTGAGCCTCAAGGGGAAAGCAGAGGCTCCCGGAGGAGAGACCCGGCCTGGTCCTAGCTCGGGTGGGGACGGGTGGCGAAGTCATCGCGTTTCACAACGGAGGACTTGGCTCTGGACGGCGGCCAGCCCCGCTCTAAGCCCTAAGCCCCGTCCTTGCGGATCCCAACCCGACGCCTGGGCGGCACCCAGAGCCCTCTCTGCAGACTTCCAGCCGACCCGCGCCCCGCCCCGCCCTGGCAGGAGTGGCCGCCCCGGGCTCGGGCGTGGCGGGGCTCTGCGGGTCCCCCACCCCCAGCGCTGGGCGGTCCCGCCCTGCCGCTCTCCCTCGGCCCGGCCTGGTCCCGAGCAGCTGGGGAGCTGAGACCTAAGGCTCGGAGGCCGGTCCCAGCCGAGAAGCCCCGGAGAAGGCAGGCTGGCGCCACGCCGCAGCCGGGAGCGCTCACCGGCGGGGGACTCGCCGCAGCCCCTTCCCCCTCGGGCCCCTTCCCCCTGGGGGGGCCCCTCCTCCGGGGGGCCCCCTCCTCCGGGCCTCCCCCGGCCTCCCTGAAACAAAACCCTGGTTTCGGGGCCCAGAGAAGACTCAGCAGCTTCTTCCAGGGAGTCCCTGGCCCCGCTGCCAACACCACCGGACCGGGAGCAGGGCCTGGCCCCATCCTTTTTATCAGGGGATGGCGACGACAGAGGGCAAGGGCGAAAACTGGGGTGACTCGGATGCGAGTGGAAGCCCCCGCATCTGGTAGAAGGGAGACGCGGAACGCCAGGCGTTATATGTCCTAGGGAGAGTGCGGGTGACCCTCCGCAACTGGGGAGCGCAAGCCCCCGGGAGCCAGGTGAGTCCTGGGTACCCCCCCTGGGTCCCCCACCCCCACCCCCCCGCAAGCTTTCCAGTCTCTAAACCCCGGATCTGGGTCACAGCACTTTGCATCTTTCAGAGAGCTTCAGCTCTTTGTGGTTAGAAACTGATGACAGGCGAGGCTCAGGAGGTAAGTGACTTGCTCAGGGTCACCCCGCAGCCAGTAACTCGGTCAAGGGTGAAACTCAATAAGGGACTCTTTTAATGTCCCCGAGCGAGTTCCTCAGTGTCCCCGCACACTTGCTGGGACTCTCCCATCCTCAGTGGGGCAAGACACAGCAGGTCAAAAAGGGCTATGTGTGGGAGGTGGAGAATTGCCCTCTGAGCCTGGGGCAGTAGGGGGAGCAAGGGGGCTCCCCCACTGCCAGCCTCATAAATAACCACGGGTGTATTTGTAGGCAGTCTGGTGTGATCATGTAGATACATATGCATATATGTGGTAGGCTTGGGAATTGAACCCAGGGCCTCACACAGGCTAGCCAAGTGCTCTGCCTCGGAGCTGCACCCCTGGTCCATACCAGCTGATATTTTAAGGAGAAAAGGGCTGAATTTCAGCATTAAAGGGGCTGTCCCATGATAACAGACGGTTCTCTTCCTATGTTGTTACAGGAGACTGGGTCAACCAATGTAACAATGCAGAGCCCTCTGTATGCATAATGGAAACCCAGGGCCTCTCTCTCAAGAGCCCCAGGAAGGACGAAAGTGGAAGGGTGAACCCTGAAATGGAGTACGGGGCAGACTAGGTACAAAGTGGTCCCAGGCTTCCCTTGAGTCTACAGCAAGGCGATGCCAGCCTGTGGATGAACCCAAGATGGCCTGGTGCAGCCCAGTCCTGTACTGCACATGTGCCAACATGCCTCGGACAAGGGTGTATCTGTCACAGAGGCCTTAGTCACTCTTTTTTTTAAAGTATCGAGGGTTGAATCCAGGGCCCTGCACATACGAGGCAAGCATTCTATCCCTAACCCTTTTTTATTTTATTTTGAGACAAGGTCCCACTAATTTGCCCAGGTTGGCCTTGAACTTGTACTCCTGCCTCAGCCTCCTGAGTAGCTAGGGTACAGGCGTGTGCTGCCTCGCCCAGATTTTAAGTAGCAAGTTGATACAACCTTCCAGAGCTGGCACCCAGGCTGTCACTCGGAAGCATCCTCTCTGCTGAATGGTGTCGAGGAGCCTGTCAGAAACAGACTTCTCTGTCCCCATCATACACGCTAGACATTCTCTTTACCTCCAGCCCTAGGTTTGCTAACTACCTTTTGGTCAGTGACAGCATCTTGATCTCCCCAACTCCTTTCTACCTCTCCCTCCCTGCTCCTGATGGATGGGTTTTTTAAAAGTTTCTTTTCTTTAAAAGTACAGCTGTGCAGCTGCAGCGGCACATGCCTATAATCCCATGACTCGAAGAGGCTGGGCAGGAAGGCCAGAAGTCTGAGCCTCTCCTGGGCCACTTAGTGACCCTGTCTCGGAATAAAAAAGAAAAAGGACTGGAGATGTAACTCAGAGCAAAGGCTCTAGGTTCAAGCCCCAGGATCACAAAACCAAACAAATAAATAAACGAAAATCTAAAAATAAGTAAAGTAAAACTCTACTGCAGATAAAACACATTTAGCTTACATTCACCCCTGTCCATGTAGGAGAATGAAGGCAAGAAAGCCTCATGGTTCTCTCTAACCAGAGGCCAGCATGAGAGCCCAGATCCAGAGGAGGAGCTGGCCTCATCCCATGAATGAGTAACCCCACTGGCAGGTTTACAGGGCCTTGATTTAGGGCGTCCCACACCTACTTTCAGAAAGCCTGGCCTTGACTGAGCCTGGGGAAAAGCCACTGCGTTTTTAACCCACTTCAAATGCATGTTGGTGAGCTCATCCTCCCCCACCTCAAGTGGGGTCCAGACATGCAGAGGGAGGAGGGACCTTCCCAAAGGCTCGCTGGGAATTCCAAGCCTTCTTGCCTCTCTGCTCTGTCGTCGGGGTTCAGTCCTCTGCACCCCACCCAGGCTGGCTCCAGACCGTCACTTTCAAGGCACAGCCTGGGGGCATCAGCATCTGTTTCTTTCCTAAAACCATACTGGCCTTTCGCCTGTACAGTTGCTGGACCGCATTAGGGGCTGACTTGGGACCAGTTCCTTAGGATGGAGGAAAATGCTCATGATACAGTGTTAGGTAGAAAAAAGATTAAATCAGTAGCTTGATAGTATGTTCCCAATTCTGTTTAACAAGTGTATGGACTAAGCCAAATATGGTGGCTGCACCTGTGGTCCCAACTACTCAGGAGCCAAAAGCAAGGGCTCAGGAGTCCCAGGTCAGCTTAGCAACACAGTGAGATTCTGTCTCTGTGAAACAAAAATGTACAGACTTACATATATAAAAGAAGATGCACCAAAATACTCAACGTATTAACAGTGGATCTCTGGATTTGTGGAATTTAATTTTTGTCTTTTTGCTTTTCCCAGGCTTTCTAGCATGACACTGAGTAGTAGCAGCACCGAGCTCCAACTCCAGAGCTAAGAGAAATGGTTTGAATTCCACGTCCTCCTCTCAATAGCCGTGGGAACTTGGATAAAGTATTTTATCTCTGTGAGCCTAGGTTTCTTTCTTTCTCTTTCTGAAAGGGAGGACAGGAAGGACACCTTCCTTACAGGGTTGACATGAGGCAGAAATGAAGTCATGCAATTTTAGCACCTGGCTTGGTGGCTGATACATAGCATAAGCACTCAGTAAATGTTAGTTATTTGTGTGTATTATGTTTATACATGGGAAAAGTAAAAAACCTTAAAAAATAATTTTTAAAAACTTTGCTTAAAATTCACTATTTGCATTAAAGGACACTTAGAAAACAACAAAAAGTCTCCAGAAAAATCAGTGTCTCTGAAACAGGCTGGAACTAGAATGGCCATAAAGCAAACTGGGCTTTAGATGTGTCAACATTTGAATGAAAACTGCTGGAAGGGAACGGTATCGAACAAGGAGCCACAACCATGAGAAATACAAAGCTAATGAAAGAAAATATAGATTATTTTCTATTGATCCTGGGGAATTGAACTCAGGGCCTTAGGAACAGTAAATGCATGATCTACAACTGAGCCGAGCCACACCCCAGGCTTAGAGGTTTTTTGAAGAAAACAAACCCCACAAAACTGGCTAGGTCAGACCACAGGATAACTGATCAAACGACAAAGCAACAAGCATAAGAAAAGCAAGCAAACCAGAAAATAGGAGGGAAGAGTGTGTGGTTGCATAAGCAGGGGATGTTAGGCCTGGGGAGGTTATCAGAGGGGCCTGGGGCTCTGACAGCAAGGCTGAAGAGTGAGTGGGAAACAGCCTGGGGCAGAAGTTGGCCCCAAGTTGCACAAAGGTCTTCCAGGATCCAGGCTATGGGCCATCCCTGGGAGCTCCAAAAAGCAACGGTTTACAGCAACAGGTGTACAAGAGAAGCTGAGCGAGGGAACAGGACCATGAGCCTGCCACTGATTGGACCAGAGCTAGGATCCTGGATCTCCTCACGTAGACTTGAGTGGTTTGACCTTTCAACAGAACAGCCTGATCTGTTTTGTACCAACGACATAATAGAGGCTGCACACACGAAAGAAAGGAATTACCACCATTGCCAAGGTTCTCAATAGAGCCGAGAGCCCTCCCATCCAGCATGGTAGAGGTGGCCGCAAGAAGTTACAGAGAGGAGGACTGCAGGGGTCTCCCAAGCTCCTGATGTGGGTCTGAGGAGAGGCTGACAGCTTAAGAGCAGCCTCCTCAGACAAGTCTCCCAGGACACTGGCCAATACTTCTTTTCCTATCCCAGTCATCAACTTCCTAGGAACTCTCCCAATCCCTGGCACCTAAGCCTGACTGGGCAAGTGAGCTGACTCCCAGACTGTCACCCCATTCCAGGTACCCTTCAAAGTTTGATTGCCCCCATTCTAAGTTGCACACTCAAACATCCAGAGACCAGGCAGACAAGAAAAATGAGTAAGGCAGGCTGAACATCAGGCACCGGAAGGGAGGTGGTGGCACAGGAGAAACTGCCCACCAATCTGAAGGGGATAACATTTACTTAGCTCCCGCTGACCGTTGCCATGGAAAAAAGGTAGGCTGATATCGTCAGGGCTTCTGGTTTTGGGCAAGTAGCAAAAAAATCTGGATTTCTATGTGAAATCTTCTTTTAAATTTCAGTAACCAACTATAATTAATCTCCAGGGTTGTTTGGGTAGGAGGCAGCAGAGAATTTTAGAGTTGAAATGTCCTTGAAGTACATTGAGCCCAAACTCTTCATCTTACACATGAACAAAATGAAACACAGAAAGGTTCAGTGAGCTCCCAAAGGCAACAGAGCAACTTAAATGCTCAACCCTGGGCCTCCTAACTTCCAGGCACAGCTTGTTCCTTGAGATCCCCTTCCCTTAGGAGGCCTCTGAGATTATTCAGGCATGAGACGATGATATGTTGAACGGAGATGGTGACCTTGGGAAGAAAGTGGGTAAACTTTACTGTGGCCTTGGCTTAATTTAAAAAAAAAGTTTTTGTTTATTCTTTTGTCCATCCATCCATCCATCCATCCATCCTTTACAGATCATCACGCGCCAACACTGGGAACACAGAGATAACTAAGCACCACGCCTTGTTTCAAGGAACTCCAGGCGGATGAGTGCCTTGGTGCAAATGCTGCCCCCAGCAACCATGCTGCCACAGCCTGTTCACATGAACTCTCAGCTAATACTCACACCCTCGTCTGTAAGTCACTTCCTGTGAAAGCATCTGCCAATGTTGAACACTATACTTGAGAACCTAGGAGAGTAGAGAATGCCTCCCATTCTGAGAGAGCCTGGAGCACTTCAGGAAGCAAGAGGAAAATTGTGCTCAATGCTAATTCCCTTCCAGCGCAGGGAAGACAAAAGTGGTTCATGTACGATCTCGGCCCAGGAGCCACTTCATACCAGCCAGAGTCTGCGTGGGTACGTACTGGGGAGAGCAAGGGAGATTCCAGCCAGGGGCCCTTCTGACTTTATCCAGTGGTCTGCCCAATTCCAGTGGCAGCTGGCAGGTGACCTGTGTGGCCAAAGACTGATGGCTCCCTGGGCCATTACAGATTCTACAAAAGAAGAGCAGCATATCACCCAGTCTCTTCCTATCAACAACAGACTTCTCAGCACCGGCTCTAAGCAGCATCTACTCCCAGGAGAGGAATGCAGGGCAAGAGCAAACATGGTGAGGTGGCTGCACTTCTCCACCCTTCACTCGCTTCATTTTTCCAGGGCTCTTCTTGCTCAAATATCAAGCAAAGCCCTAGGGGCTGTACCAAGAGGGTAACCTGTAGCCCATCAGTAGGAAATGACTGTGGCCTGCAGGTGCTTTGCTGGAGAGTTGCAGAAGGCTGGGGCCTCAGGGCCTTTTAGTTACTAGGAAATAATGGGCTGTGACTATATTATAAATGAGTCCAAAGGTTAGCAGGGAGCAGGTGGGCAGGCAGATACCAGGATCCATAGAGAAGGAAGGGAAAGATGGAGAGGATGAGCACAAATTTAATGAGCACTCTTTAATTTGCCCATGGTCACACGGCTGGCCAGGCAGACTGAACCCAGTTCCACATGACTTTTCCTAACCCTGTGCTCTTATCTTACCCCATCTGCTGGACTGCCAAGGCTCACTGGGTGAGTTGGTACACAGGGCATCGCTGTAGAAAAAGGCACTGGAAGGTTTCGGGATTTGGTAAATTGACCCCTGGGCCTGAAAACTCAAGAGGAAATTAGCATTTGTTTTCTCTGTCAATAAAGGACCTCAGTATTTTATTTCCTTGTCTCGGTAAATGTATTTTCCAGTGTTAGGGAAATTTCCCCTGTACCTGCTTCCCTCACAGGGCTAAGTGTCCTAGGTCAGATGTACAAAACAGGAAGCAGAGGGATCTAGGGTCATAGTTTCCTTTAGACTTTTCCACATCGAAGGACACCTCATGTTCCTGGACTTTGGGTAATGCTTAGTGAGATAAATCAAACACACAAGCTTAAATATCACACGGTTTCTCTTATATGAGACACCCAAAGTATAAATAATGTGAAGAGCAACATAAAAGATGGATAATAGGAAAACAGGGAGGTCTTTTGCAAATGGGAAGAGGATAGAGATGGAGGAGGAGAGTGGGAAGGAAAGGGGAAAGGAAGAAAAAAGAATTAAGATGCGTCACATACATTTACCAGCTCCCCAAAATGAATGTAAGCATTATGAACCACAGACATGTACTAATAAAAATTTAAAAATAAATGTTTTTATTTTTTTGGTACCGGGGAATCAAACTCGGGACCTTGTGCTTGCGAGGCAGGCGGTGGAACCACTGCGCGAAATCCCTGGCCCTAAAACTAAATGTTTTTAAAAAGTAGATTTTGGATATGAGGGACCAGAAGCACAACCAGAGGGTGCTCCAGCAGGTTCAGGGTGTCATTATTCAAGGCCTAAGAAATTAACTTTTCCCTCTGAGTTTGGGGAGCCCAAAGTGTAGAAATTACCAAAGCAAAGTCCACTCAACAATTTTATACTTATTATGTGCCAGGGCTATTTTAAGAGCTTGAATATATCAGTGAACAAAAAAAGATTAAAATCCTTGCCCTCATGGAAGATATATTCCAGGAGAATCAAAAGTAAAAGCATCTTATTTTTTTCCCCCCAGTACTGGTGATTGAACCCAGGGCCTTTGCACTGAGCTATATCTCCATCCTTTTCATTTTATTTATTTGGTTTTTATTTAAACTTTCTTTTTTTGAGACAGGGTCTTGCTATGTAGTTCAGGCTGGCCTTGACCTCACCATGTAGCCCAGGCGAGCCTCGAATTCACAGCAGTCAAAGTGCTGGGATGACAAGCGTGTACCAGCACACCTGGCCCTATTTATTTGTTTGTTTGCTTGTGACAGTCTCCCTAAATTGCCAAGTTGCCCAACCTGGGCTCAAATTTAGGATCCTCCTGCCTCAGCCTCCCAGAGTGCTGGGATTATAGGTTTTCAGGAGACATTGTTACATTGCAGAAAGGCCCTGAGCCTGGACATCAGACAAGCCTGGATCAAGGATCAGCCTGAACCCTAACCAGCCAGGTGACCTCTGTGCAGGCACTTAACACACTGAGTATTAGCTTTCTTAGCTGTAAAATGGGGATGACAACAGGCTATCATGTTAGGTCTACTGAAGAATTAAAGATACTGAATATAAAATGCCTGGCCATAGCAGTGTCCAAAAATTGTGACATTTTTTCAGGCCCACCTGAACCCAGATTCTAGGACAACTTGTGTATCCTCTTATTTAGGAGCTACCAGGGCAGCCGGTGCCCTACAGGCAGTTTGATGTGCTGGGGGTGTTCTTGAATTTGAATCCACCTAAGGTCCAGGCATTTCCTGACTGAAGACATCTGCTTCTCATGGCCCCCATGGAAGGGACAGGCCGGGGTGGCCACGAGTGACTGGGCCCCACCCTACTCCAGGAGGCCACAGATAATTGGTGCAGGAGCAGCTATCAGATCTGAGGTGGAATCTGCCTCTCGAAGCATGGGGATGGAGTTAACTCCCTGGAGAGCCAGCAGAAAGGTGCTTGGAGCTGGAGGCTGAACCTGCTGCTGGGTCCTGTGCCTGTGGACAAGGAACCAGGCAGCCTGTGAAGGGCCAGTTCGGGGCTGCACCCCACACCCAAGTTCTGCGAAATTCCCCTGTAGTCTTCATATAAAGTCCCCCTGTACTTTTCCTCCTGCTCTTTTGAGTGAGCTGCCGTTCTTACAATCAGATGATCTCTAAGACAAACCCTGTACCTGACTCAGAAGGTGGTTGTTGTGACATAATCTGAAAGCAGCTGGCATTTAGTCGACATTCAATAAATGCTGTCGAATCTCTCCATGTTCTTGTCAACTAGTCAGTCATTCAGCCATAGAAAGAGGAAATCCATAAATAGGCCAGATAAGGTTGCTTCTCAGCCTTTTGTTTTCTGAATACCTTTATTAATCTGTAACATGAAGATGACTAGTAGGGGCTTCTTGGTCGGCTGGGAGTATTAACCCAGAGGATCCAAGTTCAACGCCAAGTACACAGTTAATGAATGTTGCCTTGCATTATTAGGCTACTGTGGTCATTGTTATTTAAGATGTGAAAGTGTTGCCTTAGGTCTTGATCTGGTCCAGAAGAGAAAACAGAGAAGAGTGTTATAGGGAGCGGGGCCAGGGCTTGGGCAGTGGACAGAAGGGATGCAGAGCAGGAGCAAGGTTAATAAGCTTCACAGAAGCTGGGTATGTTGGTACACCCTAAAAATCACAGATACTGAGAAGGCTGAGGAAGGAGGATGACAAGCTTGTGGCCAGCCTGGGCAACTTGGTGAAACCCAGCTTCAAAAGGGGAAGGGGAGGGCTGGGGTGTCGCTGAGTGCTAGAGTGCTTGCCTAGCATGCACGAGGCCCTGGGTTCAATCTCCAGCACTGAAAAAGAAAACAGCTTCACACACATCTAGGTCTTTAACATTTATGTGGTGCTTTTACCTGTGATGTCTCATTTGCCTGTCTCAGCTTTATAGGGCACAAAAAGGAAAGGTGAATCACATACATGTGATGGAAGGGAAAACTGAGGCCCAGTAACGCACACAGTCCACACCAGCCAAAGCTCAAGCCTCTCTTTTATAGCACACTGCCTCAGAAAGCAAGATGCAGGGCTAGAGTGCAGAGGGAGGGTCTGAAGACAAATTGAGGGTTTCTCTGGAAGTTTGTTTGTTTGGTTGGCTGTTTTTGCAGGCACCATCTGGGGCCTTTCTGGGGAACCCAGTGATGCAATGTTTCTGTCCCATTAGAGCCAGATGCAGTCCTCGGGGTTATCCAGCCACCGTGTCTCATGCCCACTCGCTTGGATGTCCCTTACCTTTAGGTACTCTCTGGGGAAAGAGTCGGAAATTCCCTGCTGCCACAGCCAGGCCTTGCTGTAGGTCCTCAGCTCAGCAAAAGCTTCCTGAGCTAAAGGTCAAAGACTCTTCTCAGCACCTCCCCATCTCCTGGATACTGTTTCTCCTCAAACCTTAACATAGTGGCTGGCATATGGCCTGCACTCACTTTATGTTTGTTGAATGAATAAATGAATAAAATGAATAAGCCAATGGACGACAGATTGTCTGACAATAAAATGCCTGTGCTGTCACAGCAGAGTGGCTGTGCCCTGTTGACTCTTAGTTCCCAAATCAGAGCTCAGTGGCCAATCCTCCTTAGTCAGCGGCCAAGGAAGGCTCAGATATGGGCATTTCTCCTTCCTCCCTCCTCACTTCCTCTTACTTCTCAGAGGAGCCGCCCTGAGGAAAGGGCAGGCCCGGGGATACCCAGGCTGGAGGAAGGCTCTGCCCACTCCTTCCCACACTTTGAAACTGCCCTGCTTCTCCTGTTCCAGGCCCAGTAGAGCCAGCTCCAGCAGGAGCTGCCCGGTGATGAGTGGCGCCAGAAGTGCTTCCTTCTTTGCATTTTTCTAGTTGCTGATGACCTTGATTCTTACTAATCACAGCACAGTAGCTTTATGGTTTCCATCATCTTTCTTGCAGAATGCTCCTGGCCTAGACCTCCCAGCCCT